TTCGTTGCCAAAAACGCTATTTTAGGAGACAAATTCTAGATTTTGTCGCCAATTGTTAATTTTTTTGCGACAAATATTTATTTTGTCTCAAATTGTGAATCTTTTGCCAACAAAATATTATTTGTGCCAAAAAATTATACATTTAGTGACAAATTAATTTGTTGGGAAAAAATATTTTTTTTGAAACAAAAGGTTTTGTTGGAAAAAGTTAATTTTTTGCAACAAATTTCCTTTTTGTCTCAAATTGTGAATCTTTGTCAACAAAAAAAATATTTGTTCCAAAAGACTTAACATTTAGTGACAAATAGTTTGTTGCCAAAAAATACATTTTTAGAGACAAAAGTTTTTGTCCCAAAAAATTAATTTTTTGTAACAAACCTCTTTTTTGTCTCAAATTGTGAATCTTTTGTCAACAAAAATATTATTTGTTTCAAAAGACTTAACATTTTGTGACAAATATTTTGTTGCAAAAAATACATTTTTAGAGACAAAAGTTTTTGTCCCAAAAAGTTAATTTTTTGCGACAAATTTCTTTTTTTGTCTTAAATTGTGAATCTTTTGCCAACAAAAATATTATTTGTTCCAAAAGGCTTAACATTTAGTGACAAATAGTTTGTTGCCAAAAAATACATTTTTAGAGACAAAAGTTTTGCTCAACAAAGTTAATTTTTTGCGACAAACCTCCTTTTTGTCTCAAATTGCAAATCTTTTATCAACAAAAATATTATTTGTTCCAAAAGACTTAACATTTAGTGACAAATGTTTTGTTGCCAAAAAAATACATTTTTAGAGACAAAAGTTTTTATCCCAAAAAGTTAATTTTTTGCAACAAATTCTCAATTTGTCGCCAATTAGTAACTCTTTTGTGACAAATCTTTATTTTGTCTCAAATTGTGAATCTTTTGGCAACAAAACTATTTTTTGTGCCAAAAAAACCAACTTTAGTGACAAATAATTTGTCACAAATAATCTATTTCTTGCTAATTACTATAATTGCTAAAAACTTATTACTTATTCATGGGCTAACCCAAGCTATATAGCAAAGGTCTAAAAAAAAAAAATTAATACTACTATTTCCTATCAGCCATTTGCCCAGCCCAGCCCAGCAAACCAATGCAAAGTTACAAACAAAATTTATAGGGCCTCAAAATTGATAGGCCCATGTATTATGGGCCATCAAAAAAAAAATATTAGGGCATATCATTTAACCTTGCCAATTGCCTCCAATCTCCATTCCTGTTCTAAACCATGGTTTGAACCAATGCATCAAAGGGTTGCACTTAGGGGTGACAATTCGTGTTCGCGAGTCATAATCGTGTCATATCGTGTCGATCTAAGAGTATTTTACTAAACAACTCAATTTGAACACAACCCATTTAATAATCGTGTCAGAAACCCTGATCAACATTAACCCGACCTGTTTATTAAACGGGTTACACGTGTAATCCAGTTAAAGACCTATTTAATAAAAAAAATATTATATTATTTAAATAATTAATAATACTCAATCAAATAATAAATACTAGAAAAATATAGGTTTCAATCCAATTAAATTACTAAATAATTTTTAATTTACAAAATAATAAATTATTAGATGCAAGTTTAGATAGTTATTTTGGAGCTTAAATATAAATTTGTTTATGACACGTATAGTTAAACAAGTATAAACGGGTTATACAGGTCGAATCTCTTAATCCAAATACGATACGATTAACTAAACGGGTTAATCGTGTCAACCCGTTTAAGACCCAAATCCGTTTAAGGCAACACAAACCCGCTTAACTCGAGTCGTGTTGGTGAGTCGTGCCTATAAATACCTCAATTAGGATCATTTGCAAAACACACAAAAATTCAAAATATTTCTTTTCTTATAAAATTTTTCTCCTCCTTAATTCTATCTTCTTGCATACTAGCTTGCATACATAAAGCATAGTGTGAGTTCGAGTTCGGTCTATAGGAGAGAGTACTACACTAAGCCGATTTGTCCATTTATTCGGTTTGCAATGTTGCTATCAAAGAAAGAAAGGCCGTTACATCCAGGGAGATAGAAATTCAGAATACTTCTCTTCTTCTAAATTTTCCTCTTCCTCCTTAATTCTCTCTTATTACATACTTGCATACATAGAGTATAGTGTGAGTTTGAGTCCGATCTTGAGAACTGTTTTCAAAGTTACAAACCAAACGTGCATATCTTTCTCTATATCTCTCTTTAGTCTCTGCAAATGTGATAATCAAAAGTTCAAAACCCATATAAACATATACGCTGCATATCACTATATCAAATTGTCTCTAGTCTCTGCAACTTTTTTTCCATCGCCGATCGCCCGTTGTTCAAGTAAACTGCATATGCCAATTTTTTTTTTCTTTCTTATTGAACAAAGCATTATTGAAGAATTTGTATTTAAAAAACAAAACTACTTGTGCCATGGAGTTTAATGTCCTAAACTAAAAAAATAATTTTTGAATGAAATTTAAATATTATAACTTTTTTAACAAAATGTTTTTGCTTAAGATTTATTTTGAATTTTGTTTTTCTTATTTTTCGCATAATGGCCCAAGTTAAAACATAAATTATATATTAATTAAATACATTATATAATTAATAATTAATAATTTTAAAAAAAATAATGTGACAGTCTCTATAAATACATTTATGAGTAATATCTCATAATTAAACTATATTTCAATTAATTACAATTTTATAGCAAGTTATGCCAACTTCTCCATTATCAATCATTGAATAAAGTAATTATCCCTAATTGATCAACCTATTAGCAAACAGGAACGGAGCCAATGAAGGCCTGGGGGCATGTGCCCCCTGAGTTGGCTTGCACTCTGTAATATTTGTGGTAATTTGTTTTTAATTTTTTCCATATATATATATAAAATTATACAATGCCCCCCTAAATTTTGTGGTTTTTAAAACGATCTCTTTATTATTATTATTATTTTTTTTTACTCTTCAAATTCCTTAAATTTCCTTAATAGAAAAGTCAAAATTTTCTTTCTCAGTTGAAATTTTTTAACTTTTTCCTTTTAAAATTCTTTGATTTATCTTTTTCTATTTCTACTCTTCAAATTCTATTTTTTTATTTATTTATTTATTTTTAACATGCATATTTGAATAATTTTCTTCTTCTTTGCCTTTTGAATTTTATAGTTGTTATATATATATATACTTCGTATTTTTTTTTTGCAGCGTGTCCCCTCACTTGAAATTTTGGCTCCATTCCGATTAGCAAGTCAGGCCAACTTCTCCATCATTGATCATTGAGTACGTAATAAGATTGATTGAATTATATATCCATTGCCTTTGGATTCATGAGAGATGATTTTATAAGAATTAATTTTCTAAGGTAATTGATATAAAAAAAAAAATCCTAAGAACTAGACATCACCATGTAAAATAATAATAATAATAAATAAATAAATTCAAATTTGGGTCATATATATATATATATATATACTCTTACAAGGGGTATTCTAGGGTTGATTTTTTAACTTTGGGACAGTACTTCTCTAAAGCCCAAAAGAATATCTCCCCAAAATTTTGGTGGGCGGGAAATATTAGCGCCATTAGGCCAGTATTGTTTTTGGTGAATTTTAACTCAAATAACACTCCTCTCTCACAGCCCCAAACAAATAAGATCCGTGCCTTGCTCTTTCTCTCTCTGTGCTCTCTCTCAAGAGGAAAACGGTGCCCTAGTTTTCTCCCTGTATTCTACGTCAGACTGAAGCCCCAATCCTTCTATCCGTCAATCTCTTGGTTCAAATCTCTCTTCGGCCATATACCCTCTATTAGGTATTTCTTTTTCTCAATCTCTCTCGCTATATATATATATATATATATATATATATATATATATATCACACACAAACACAACCACACACATAAGCGCACATTCTCGTTCCCCAAATTTTAGGGCAAATCATTTCACCTTCCCCAATCACCTCCATCTCTGTTCTCGTTCTCGACCCTGAACTAGCCCTCTCTCTGTCTCTGCAACTGCAAACTACAAAATCTGTCTGCAAGAATCAAAAGTTGAAAACCTATTACCTATCTCAAAACCCATTTCGGCATATCATTTCAGATTGTTCAAAAAATCAAAACCCATATCTTTCAGTTTCCATCGCCCGCTGTTCCAGTTCGAGTTCGCCGTTCGCAAGCTTCAGCCGCTGGCCCCGATGTCTCTCAACTCTTAAGCTTGCCCCTCCCTCCTTCTGCAATTGCTAACTTGTATGTATGGGTTTTGTTTTAAATTTTTTTTTGAATCAACTAATCAAGGTCTGTAATTCTTGTCTTGCAAACTAAATCCTATTTGGTGAAAATTTTTATGATTTTTTTTTTTTTTTTTTATAATTTTTTTTTTACAATATAAAGTAGCATTTTGAGGTAATCACCGTAATCTACATTTTATTTCAGGAAAACATATATTTTTTTTTATTTCTAAAACTTTTATTTCTGGTATTTTTTTATTTATTTTTTTGTCAATTATGTTTACAAGAAAATTTGAATATGGGCATGAAAAAAAAAAAAAAAAAAAAGAAAAGAAAAGAAAAGAATCTGAATTGGATTTGAAATCTAAAGAGATTGAATCTGAAACAATTTTTATCAACATGCCAAGCTTTTTGAAGACGGAAGCCTTTACAGAACTAAAAAAAAAAAAAATCATAACAAGAACTTTGACAAGCAAAAGTACTTAATATAGGGTAAAGCTCTAAAGTTACTTCTTGAAAATTAAATTACTTACAAAAAGCATGCTTTTGAGTGAATTCCATAGTGTTGGAAAGGGCTTGCCATGAACTACCTCACACTCTGCTTCCACTAGTAGATTCTCAAATAGGACTAGTAAATTTGTCAAAAGAAGAGATAAGGTACTGACTACTAAGTGGTGAATTGTTTAGAAATAAATTGGTAATTTTTTTATTAATTACCCAAATAGGATTTTCTATGCCTTAATCAGTCAATTGTTTAAAGAAATATTGTTGATCACAAGGAGATGACTGTTCTTATTTTTTTCCTCCCTCATTTTGTTTGTTCAATGCTTAGGGTAAACACTTGGTAATTGCAAACTTGGGGGATTCTCGTGCAGTCCTCTGCACTAGAGGCAACAAAAATCAGCTCGTTTCCGTCCAACTCACAGTTGACGTGAAACCGAATCTTCCATGTGAGTGTTTTCTCTTGAGCTATCTTCAAAAAAAAAAAAAAAAACCAGAATGTTCAATATAATGAACCTTTTCTTATTTTTTTGTGTCGTTAATCAGGTGAAGCGGAAAGAATTAGGGACTGCAAAGGCAGAGTTTTCGCAATGGATGAAGAACTGGAGGTGTTTAGAGTGTGGATGCCTGATGATAATTGTCCCGGTCTTGCAATGGCAAGGGCTTTCAGAGATTTTTGCTTGAAAGATTTTGGCCTAATTTCAATCCCGGAAGTCTCTTATAGAAAGCTTACGGACACAGATGAATTTGTGGTACTGGCAACTGATGGGGTAAGAAAACATAAAGAGTTCTTTTTATGTGTGTGACAGTCTGACAAACATTTCTTCCATAATTCTCTAGCAAAACTAATTTGATAATTCTGGCGAACTTTTGGTTGAATAAACCGTTTCTTTCTCTTAGCTTTAGGCAGTAAATTGTTTAAGTGTGAACGTACATAAGCATTATCTTGGCTAGTTTTTTATGCGGCAATATATAAATCTATTTTTATTAATATGTCATATTCCTTTTATATCTCTAATATCATAGAGCATCCATAAAGTTTTCAACATTAATAGTAATCATTTCATTTATACGAAAATCTTAAAATACCCCAATTCACCTTCCAATATATCTTAAAGTGATATTGATATATCAAGAAGTATCAGTGAGCAAATTTTTAATATGCATTGCACCAAAAGTACCAAAAAAAAATAGAGTGATATTTTTTTGTTATGTGTGTGCACTTAATGCTAATAACTTGTTCATTTTTCAATAGCAGCTCATTAGTGGTCTTAGATCTTTCCCATAACAACTTAATTGGTCATATTCCAAATTGGATAGGTAGCAGAAACAAATTTTAAGATTGTGGTGCCTAGTTTCCGACACTAAATGCACTTGCTTTCTCATTCTGAAAACAGAGTATTTTTTTTGGCACTTTATAAATTAGTTTTCTTTTGAGCTATCATTTTTTCAATAGTTATCCGCTTTAGATTGTCCTATGAACAAGATTTAACATATTACACTTTCATTAAGTTAGCAAACACTAGTTTCTATCATCTTCCCCTTATCAGTTACAATTTATAAAGTGCCAAAAGATCAATAGTGGAAGAATTGGCTTTCTTCATTTTATTTATTATATTGTTTTATAGTGGATGAAGATTGCAGGAGTTGGGACTGGAATGAGAGTTTAGAAGTTTTAAGTGGTCAAGATTAGAGCAAATTATAGTGGAATTTAATGATTGACATAGTTTTGGATAGAATTCCCAAATCTAGCTAGCCTCATCATTTAGCTGCCCGTAGGTTTAAGTGATCCATTCCTTTTAACGATAAATAATGATCTATGAAATGAAGTTTCTAGGGTTTTAGAAATTATACCAATGGCCGGATTCCTGCTAAAAGAGATAGGCTTAAGCAGAAAAAAAAAAAATTAAGCCTCAAACAAAGTATGTTTCTCAAGGACTAGAAACTCTATCTGTGTGTAGCTTAACTACTCTGGATGCCACCTAAAAAAAGTTAGTTAAGCTTCTTGTCTTCTATGAAAAAGGAAGGAAATATAATTTTGTTTGAAGCTAATATGTGGTCACTATTTAATAAGGCAGATGATTAATTAGTGGATAGAAATAAAAAATGGTCAGAAATATAAGATGACAACGTTTTGTGCTCTTAGTGGACAATATGTTATGGGCCTCAAATCTGTGAATATTATTTTTATCATATTTTGTAGTCATGAACAATTGTTTCACCTTTTTTAACATGTAATGCCTCAAATACTTTTTATTTATTCCTTTTTTAATCTGATTTAGAATATCTAATCTCTGAATCTGATTAATACCTAATATTACCCAGAGTAAAGAATCTGAAACTCTTTTCAAATTGATATATTTAGATCCAATTGAGTCCTTGTATTTTAATATTTAGTAATATATATTATATCCATTTGAGACTTACTCTGTTTTACTTCTCTTACCCTTAATTAAGCAAAATTTTTACCTGTAAAACACTATTTTCATTTTATATTTTTCATTGTACGTAAATATCACACCTTGAGCAATGACTGTATCATTGTGTTCAACTTGTATTGTTTTACTTCTCTTATATTTTTAATCATGTGCACGCGCTATGTACTAGTATCTATAAATTTACTTTATTAGTAGGAGAAAAACATGTGATGATAAAAAATATTAAGTACTAAACTACAAGCGTTGATGTTCTTTTGTGTCCATTAACTGTAATGCGTGGTGTTTGTGATCTTGTTACATATATAGTCCTAGTTATGCACATGGAAATCCTTGAGCCTATTGACCGCTCATACATTGTTTTGGAATTAGAGTCCAACTTTACCTACCTCTTTGTTTTTGGGTAAGTGATTTGAATAATTGAATGTAAACCACAATTCCTTTTATTTATATTTGGTAAGTATAATTAATTTATGTTTCCTTATCATTTTTCTTATGAAATTAGGGCACTATCAATAAATATAAATAGACAGTTTCTTAAACCGTTAAGTTTTTAGAAGAATATTTTCCAAGTAATGAACATTGTGAGGTAGAGGTGATAATCATCCCTTTGATACCACTTGCAATACAAGATCTATTACAGCCCTGATATTCTTCCTTGGGAAAAGATAGCCATTCACCTTGTCAACATCTTAAATGTTATAGCCATAAGAATAATAAATGAGTTACAACAAGAAGTTTTAAGACATTTTCATTATTATAAGTGGACATGTCATAACCTTCCAGAAAGATTGGAAACCCATATTTTTAAAGAGTTGTTGCACATGAGATGTGACGACCCTGGTTTTTAGGCCAGCGTGTCCTGTGATGAACCGAAGATTGACCCGATAACGGATCCGATATGCGGAAGCGAAAATAGAAAACAAGACTCTAAGAAATCAAAGTGACCTTCCATGAGGTTGTGGAATTCAACAAGAACTGATGCGGAAGCAAAAGATCGAAAATATGACAATTAAGTCCTTAGGGGTAAAATAGTCATTTCTGAAAACTGTAGATTCGGGTGCCACCGAGCACACCGCTGGAAGGACAACGAAAAACTAATCAAGATGGACTTAAGAATCGCATGATTCGGAGTCCGGACGATGGAGAAACGGCATGACGAAGAAAAACGAGCACTTAAGGCAAAAAAGGTAAACTGGTAATTATTTAGGAATAACTGGGTGCAACCGAGCACACCGTTGGAAAGACAGTGAAAAATTAGTCAAGTTAAAAAAAAAAATTCACTTGAATCGGAGTCCGGACGAAGGAGAAAAGCCCAAAAGAAGAATTGACGTCGTGGCGGCCTGACGAGGGGCCACGACAGCCCCATGCGCGCACCCATGCACGCCGCGCGCGTGCTGGTGCACACATGGCTGGCAGCAGCAGCCCATAAAGCTGCTGTGGGTTTGTTTTTCAGAAAAATCTGGAACAGAGGCTGAATTTGGAGGCCTATATGAATTTTTTTTGCAAAAACATAAAGAAGAAACCCCCCTCAAAATTGAGTTTTCTACGTGACTCGCGAGAAAATAAAAAAAAAAAAAACGTAATGTAAAATGCCCAAAATTCCCTCCCAAGAAATCTGATCCAGAGGGTCGAAAAAGCTGCTAAATAAAAAATTGAAAGCTGAACTTTACGATCGATTTCCGGCACCAAGACGACATTTTCTGGAAAAACACGAAAAAGAAACTCTCCCCCAAAATCACGTTTTCTATTCAACCATGTTGAAAGAAGGAAATAAAACTACCGTGAAAAGTCTATAATGCCCCTAAATCAGAATATGCAAAAAAAGCGCGAAATGAATTCACAAGAGGCTCAAAACACAAACGATAAGGTTTTACCTGGAAACGAGCATGCACGCAAACGTAACTTACTTATTCGGACGTGCTACAATGGTTCATGACTTAAAAATACCACCGATGCAAAATCCGACCACCCAACGGGCAAAAAGGCAAAAATGGAACTTGGAATGAAAACTCGGAATCCAAAAATACAAAATGGGGTCAAATGACCGTTTGGCCCTTGGCCACACTTCAAACATAATTTATAAGACCCTATGAAAGAACGAAAACGGAATTCCCACACCCGAGACAACTATGGTGAACCAATGACTTGCGATTTTTCAAGGTTTTCATAGCTTTTCAAGAAATCAAAAGATACATAGAATACAATATAATGGTCATTGGCCTCCGGCCTCATCTCATACATATCAAATACATTAAAAGGAGTGTACTTAAGTACACATTACATACATGGAATCAAATATACATATTTTGACATATAAGTCTACAAAAAGACATTTCATGCTAACATTTGCATGAAATGGAAACTTGAAAGCTACACGACATCCAAGGAATGCTAGGCGTCATGAACTAAGTCTTCGTACCTGAAATATTCCCTAGTATCGTAGGGGTGAGTAACATAAAGCTACTCGTAGGAGATGAGCATGCATCGATCTAGCATTTTACAAATTTATCACCTTAAGGTGAAACATGTTAAAGGGGTTCATGTCACCTAACGTCTATATCGAAATGAGACTCAGGGAGCATCCTAAGCTACCTTAGAGTGTTTCTAGCATAAATCACATCATTCATGCATTTCAACAACATAGAAACATGTTATACAAAGCAACAAGAATCATGATATAAATACATGAATGAAACAAATCAAAGTTGGAGTAATCCGATTAATACAACGAGTTTATAGTTACCACAGATCACATTATCAATGTAATTGAACAAAGTTTAGAGGAATCCAAACAACATGACAAAAGCATATTTGAATACAAGTTTAACAAGGATCACATTATCCATGCAATTCAACAACAAAAGAGCATGTTATACAATGCAACAAGGTTTAAGTTCTCAAAGCCATTAACTTAGAATCTAAAGCACAAAATAACAGTAGTGATTCATGTCACCTAACGTTTATGTTATAAATGAATCAATAGGATCAATCCTAAGCTTTATTAAAACGTCAAAACACGATTTTCAATATCGATGCAATTTAACCAACATTGGAACTTCCAATACAACGCATAAAGTACAATTTTGCAAACTTAACATCATGTAACTTAAAATGGAACGATAATAAGAAACAACAAGTTATAACATCATCTAGTTATCAACTTGAAATGAAATGTAAAATCAAATAAAGTGGATACTCGGACATCACGTCGGATCAGACCGACAACATAGTTATTTTAGGGTTACTAGCTCATGGGTAACCTCCCTATGTGCGCACTAGACTATATAGAGGGACTATCCCCCGTACTAGAATCACGTCCTAGCCATAGCCAAACAACGACATCCCCAAGTTTCCAAAATCAACAAGTTGTGCAACAACGCATATATCAACAGGAATATGCAAGATAATCAACTATCTACTAAGCACAACCAAATTTGGAAACCTATACAATATATGCTCTAAGTCCACAACTAATATGATGTGATGAATGTCGAATCTTCAGTGTGCGATTCGTTACACGCTATGC